CCTGTCACCATGGCTGAAGGCTCACCCGTTTATCCCCCCACAATAAGTTCAGCTGCATGTGTGGAAATAGTATAGATCCAAAAAAAAGAACAGGGAGATGAGGTGTCTATCTGTGATGCAATAAATAGGTTTCTTAACTAAACGTAAGGTCATGTGATTTTAGAGCAATTTAAAAAATATGAAGTACTTATGATTATTTTGATAATATTGTGTATCGCAATTATTTTGGCCAAAATAATCGTGACCTGGAATTTTCATACCGTCCTATGCCTATCCAACACAACACTGAACTTCCTCAGGGTCAAACAATCACACACAGATCAACCTGTCCCTGGGTGGGATAGTTTAGTGTTCTTTCCACCCCTGCGTACTGCATAATGTATAACATGACTCTACCTCCATGACCTGACACCCCCAAAAAAAGAGTAGACATGTTGCTCTTTCGTCAACTCTCCCTTTCATGTCCCCACACCTGACAGCTTCTCTCTGCTCTGCATCACCACATCAAATAGAGGCTCCCAGGCAAACTCGCATCCACTTTATCCCCGAGGGGGTGGCTGACTCAGCCAAAGTGCACATCTGCCTTGTTGTTTTTACTACGATTCCCATCTGTACCTGCCCCCGTCCCTCATCTGTCATCATCTGACAGTCAAGACACAAAGTGCCATGACATTAGTTTTTACCGTAAAAGGGTGGAGAGATACTTGTTCCACCTTCATACCAGAGGGTTTACATGTATGGCTAAAGGTTACAGTGAGGTTATTGATGTGCTAGCAGGGGTCATGACCCAGGAGGTACGGTTGAATCACTTTGAAAAGGTGTGTGTGAGTGTGGGCACTCATAACATCTCAAACCTCTCATCTTTTCCATTCACAGAGAGGATGGGAAGAACTATTTATACCTGTATGCAACTTAGGGCTGCACAATAGAGTTCTGATCTGGCCCCCCAAAAAAAGTTTTTGGCACAAACCCATCCCGAACCCGGCAGGTCGTGTCGGGTCCAATCGGGTTTGGGCAATGAAAGTTCTACTGCACAGCAAGTCTCCCAATCATACAAAGTGTTGCCTGGACACATTTAAACTGTTGAGTCTTTTTTGTAGCCTTTCCAAAACCAAAAACACAAGAGCAAAAGTGAAAGGACTGGATTAAACAGTAAGTCTGTGAGTTTGTCTGTAAACATTGCCAGCTAACTAGATTACTGCCTACAGTAGTAACCACGTGTTAATTTCAAGGCCAGGAAGCAAATCATTAACCAACTACATTAGTTTATAGGGTTACATGTTACGTAAAAGCCCCATTCATGCCCAGCACATCCACTGTGTAGTATTATTCCACTGAGGATGCTATCAAAGTTTAAGATAACATTAAAAGTGAAACTGAAATACAAACAAGTAAGCTAGGCAGCCAAACGGGGTAATGTCAGGATGAAATTACAATCTGACATTTTTTGTTATTATAATACTAGGACTAACTAGTTTTACACTAAAATGCAAGAACAATGCTTCAATCTCAATCTTTATTTCCCTAAAAATTATCAACTATTTGCTTTTCTGACTTTTTGTTTCCTTCAGCCTCTTCTTAAGTCTTTTAGCACGATATCATGTACATCAAGTGCATATTTGAGACCACTCTTTTACAGAGATCTTGTTTTAAAATGGGTCCACTAGAAACATTAAAGGTCTGGTGTGGAACATTTAGAAGGATCTATAGGCAGAAATGGAATAAAATAATTATTAATTAGTGTATAATCATCTGCATATAGAAATAATTATATTTCTGTTACCTTAGAATGAGGCGTTTTTATCTACAGACTCTGCGGGTCGCCATGTTGAACAGTAGCCCAGAAAGGACAAACCAAACACTGGCTGTAGAAAGGGCTGCGTTTTTGCACATTTTTACAGCCACCGTAGCTTCTCCCTCCCGCTTGGAAAGGGAAGGTGAAGTGAGTGAGTTACAATCTGCAACGACACTGCTAGATGGCACTAAATCCTACACACTGGTCCTTTAAAAAGTCAGCTGGAGACAGAATTTTCAAGTAATTCATGGAGCTAACATTAGCTTAATTAGCCAGATAGCTACAACTGACTATTGACACTTGTCATTTCAAAAAAGCAAAATTGACAGTCACTGGCTGAAAATGTGAAACCTGCTTTAGTCTACCTCTGTGTGAAATTGAGAACCTACTGTTTAAAAGAAAAAAAAATACCAAGAATGTTGATGGTGAATTTGCCACCAATATCACTGTATGTGTGCGGTGTGAGAGCGGAAAGCTGGTCAACCCACAATCTAACTGTGTAGGACTGGTTTCAGTTTTCTTTTTGCTCCATTGTTATTGAAAGTGCATGCATGTTTGAGAGAGGCAGCGTTATTGTGTGAGGAATTATTAATGCTGCTGTGATAAATACTGTGAGCTACGTGTGTGTGTGTGCGTGTGTGCTAAATCACCTCAGACTCATTACAGCAAAACACATCAGAGGCTCTGTAGAAACCTGTATCCAAGTCAGGAATGGCCGGCGCTGGGTTGAATATCGTCTTTACTGTAAGAAGAAACGAGGAAATTAACCTTCTTATTGACCACTCGATTCATCGATATGTTGTTCTGGATATAAAATGTCACAAAATGGTGAAAAATGTTGATCACTTTTTCCCAAAGCCCAAGGTGATGTCCTTAAATGTCTTGTTTTGTCCACAACCCTAAGACATTCAGTTTACTCTCACAAAAGACTAAAAAAACCAGAAAATATTCACAACTGAGAAGCTGAATTTGGACTTTTTTTCTCAAAAAGTTCCTTAAAATGATTAATCAATTATCAAAATAGATGGTGATTAATTTAATAGTAGACAACTTAATGACTTAACTGACTTAATCAACTAATCGTTGTAGCTCTACTCAGAACAACATGCAATCATAAACAAGGTTTAAAATAAAACATCATTGTTCTCAATAATACACCAAGTTATAGTTGTCAGCTCGCTTTTAAAAGGATAATTTTGACAGCGTCCCTCAGTGACACATTTTACAATTGTGTGATGTTTCTTTTCCACTTTCTGAGCTTCACTGTCAAGGTCTGGCATTACCTTAATTAAACTTTCAATGGGAACAAAGGCTAGCGGGCTACCACTGGGGATTGCTCTCGCAGGCAAAGCTCAAGTGGATAAGCTTCTATAAAAAGACACCTTTTAAACGATTAAATTAGCATTCCCCGGGAAAGAGCACTGTCGAGCGAGGGAAAAAAATGAGATGGCCTCACATCCTGTAGCTGTTTGCAGTACTCTGCAGTTCCAGGATAGTGTGTGTGGAAAAAAGATTCAACATGAGGTATATAACCCCATACATGTGTGTCAGTGTGTGGGTGAGATGAGTTGTGACCCTTTCTGTGTATGTTGAGGAGCGCAAGAGCGAGAGAGAGCAGGAGTGTTTGTCAGAAGTAATCCTCTGTACGTGTTGCACATCAGTGTCTTATGCATATTCATGAGCAGGGAGCATTAATGCATCTAATACCATGATTTCTGTGTATGTGTGAGGATAAGCCCAGCTTGACGAAGTGATTAATTCTGATATCTCTGTGTATAAAATAAAGCCTCATGCAAGTGTGCGTGCGTGTGTGTGTTTGT